AAAAAAAGCGTCCGTCTATCTTGTGAGATATAAAACTATTTTCTAATATTCTCTCTTGTGTGTGAATATTGTTGTCCTTTGGATACATTAAACAACACATTCCCTTCATTACCCTTCCCATGGAACACAATTTGTTCCAACCCATCCAATAACAATAATCATTAACCACTCTCAAGTAATTGAGCCTTCCATTTCCCAACTGTTCTTCAATCTCCTTAGTCATTTACTGCTGTTGCTTAATTGTTACAGTCTTCATCATTTTTTTTTGGTGAAAAATAATTTCTTTTTGAAAAGAAGACAGGAAATAGGACTTTGAACATCTCTTTCCAAAATATTCAAAAAATTCAAAGTTCACAAAAACCGTGAATTACTCACGAACAATCGTGAATTATTCATGAATGAAAATGGTCAGAATCGCTTGAAATCAGAAATACGTGAAATGAACCAGAAAAACCACAGAATCAGCCTATAAAAAAAATCTAATAGTGACATACTGTCAACTAATTGCACATCCCTCTTCATAATTGCACTCATTTAGACATCACCATTTTTATGAGGACATTATTACTCAAAAAACGAATAATTCTGATTGGTCTATTTGAGCATCTCCCGCTCAACCGGAATTATTCACGGTTCTTCTCGCCATAGTGACGTCTGGAAATTACCCGCAACAAGTACAGCAGCATGCTACTGAATTGTCATGCAACGCAGGATCTTCATCAACACTTGACTCCCACTCCAGCCAATAAGAACCATCGTAAGGGTCAGCTCCGCTTTCTGGCATGGGCTCTTAAACACACAGTGTCTACCACAACTTATTCAGGCGAAGACATGGTCAATTTCTTGGTTGCGTTGAAGATCAAACATAACTCCTAGCCAACTACGTTGAAGACTGTTCGAGCAGCTGTGGCACATTTACATGAAGACCCTAAGCCCATCAGCACTCATCCACTTATTAACTCCTACATGGAATCTCTGGATCGTCAAGCTCCACCGATCTCTATACATAAGCCCAAGATAGATCTAACGCCAACATTGATCTACGTTCGTTCAATTGTATCTCATTATAGTACCTCAGTTTCACTACTACAGCAAAAACTGGCCTTTTTACTGGCTATGGCAGCTCTCCTGCGCCCGTCTGACTTAGTTCGAATTCCCTTTTCCTCCTGCAAAGTAGACCCTTCCGACGGTTGCCGTCACTTCAAAGTGATTGTTCCTAAGGTACGACGACGTCGCCGAAGAATCATCAAGGATTTACGAGTACATCCACACCAAGACCAAGCATTCTGTCCGGTGTATTGCTTTACAGTTCTAAGGGATCATCCACACTTACAAGGTCGAATGGCAAACTCACTTCTTTTCCTGCATGCTAACAATATTCGCAAGCCTGTCGTCTCACACACTATTTCCTCTTGGCTCCATCACAATTTCATTTCAAAGTGCACGACCGAATCTTGTGTGTCAATCCGTTCTCTGGCGTCTTTTACAGCTCTGGGCAATGGTGTTAGCTTACAAGATATTGTCTCGCCAGGAAATTGGGCATCCTCCGACACCTTTCAACAGTATTACCAATAATCAATTTCACGTCTATGATTTTAACTGTTCAAGAGGAAGACACGGCCATGTTCTATGATGCCAATCAGGATTTCGCTCTGGATTAGCATGTTCACCTTCCTATTTTGTTCTGACAGTCTCAAACAATTCTCGCGAAATTGTTATCGACCGAAAATTAACGTTTAGACCTGAAGAACAGAATAGAAAGGTGAATATTCCCATTCTTATCTTCTCTGCCCACCTTATACTTATTATTTGACTGAGCTCAAATCGATTAACAGTATAATATCAAATTTACTTTCTTTTTATACATTTCTGTTTCTGAATTCGCTCAACTAAAATAATAAATGGAGATTCTAGCATATTCACCTTCCTATTTTGTTCTTCAGGTCTAAATGTTAATTTACAACTTTATATTGATTTATACACATTTTTTTTAATTCGAACTCTCCACTAGAATTTCCTAAAGTGTTAACTTTTTTGCTTTCATTTATTAGTAGGAAGTGTACTTGCAGAACACGAAATCTCTTTATCCTTGTAAACTCTTCTATTTTCTATGTATACAACTCAGTTACTTATCTGATTTATCGAAAGATTTTTTGATCACTCATAAAGTTTGAAGAATCGTTTTTTAACTGTCGCAAAACTGTAATTTATACGTCGTAGAGGGCCCTTTTCGGAATAGTAATTAAATCTATCTGGATACAAGTAGTAAGAATATAAAAATGTCGTTGCAACAGGTTTCTATAATATGAGGCAAGCCTTGAAAAGTTCTACGCTAATAAATACATGATCACGGTGATAATAAACCTTTTGCACAAGTTTTACGTGAGTTGGTCTTTTAGTAGACTCTTAAGACTGATGTATTTTCCTTCTTTATTTTAGTTACTTCAATGAACAAAATATTTATACAGAATAATACCCCAAGTTGATTATTTTTTACTGCCTAAACAAAGGGCGTCCCCAAGGCCGAATCCTTCGAGTATCTTATTCAAACCAGTTCCTCCAAGAATGCTATTGACAATAGAACCAAGCCCTAGACCATTCAATATGTTGCCTACAAGGCCAAGCACGCCCGCAAGCAAAAGGCCCACTGCAGAAAGAATCTGTAACAGAGGACTTTGTAAGATATTCCATAAAGGGCTAAGTTGCTTTTTAGCATATGGCATGTTTTTGATTTTCTTTTTTGCTTTATCGATGGTGGTTGTCACTTCACCAGTAAGTTGAGATAAAAGCTCAGCAAGATGGTACTCTTCTGGGGACGCCTTTCTTTGAGAAGTTTTTGCTTGTGCAGTTTTGGCTATTTGTCCAGTAGGATCAAGGCCTTTAATAGCACCATGGGCTTCGCTGAGAATATTAGAAGCTTGCTCGATTAAAGGCCTAACGTTATCAACCAATTTTTGTTCATCTCGTTCCTTTTCCGGTTTTGATTCTTCATGCTCGATCGTTTCAGTAATCATCTTCAAGACTGGCTTAATTTTATCAAGCGATTGTTCGATTGCATTTGACATGTTATCAGCTAGTTTTTTGTATTCTTCCTCTTCGGCTTCCTTCTTGTGTTCTTTGTCTGTTTTTTGTTTAATCATTTCAGCTTTTCCCACAATGTGTCCTTTGTGATTAACAATATTGCCTTCATTATCTACTTTCATTCCGGCCAATTTACGTGCTATTCGTCCATCAACGTTGCCAACAATGTTGTCATTTTTATCAACCACTTTTCCTGATTTTTTAACTTCGGCAGAGTGTTCATCAACGAGCGGATATGGGTTAGAGAATTTAGTACTGCTCTCAGTATCTTTATTTTCATCGACTGATTTTTTAGCTTCTTGATCCTTCTCAGTTTGGTTGCTGTTATTGTCATCCTCAGGCTTTTCGATATCTCTTTTGTTTTGTTTTATAACCCTTCCACCATCACCAAGTTCATCTACACCTTTGCTTTTGGTTTCTTTTGACTCTCTAGCTCCAGTCCCGCTAGAACTCTCTTCGTCACCCGATTCGCTCTCAGAGTCGTCACTTGTGTCCTGATCGACTGGCTCGACTCTTCCGATCGTATTTCCTTTTTCGTCTGTAATGACGCCATTTTCTCGGATTTTTTTACCAGCGAGCTTTTTTGCTTTGCCTTCCACAAGACGACCAATGACACTGCCAGACTTTTTATCGATAGCTAAACCAGACTTGTTTACTTTTTTACCAACAAGTATCTTATACATCTCCTCATTGTCACTTTCTTCGGAGTCAATATTTTCATCAGTATCTTCACTCTCTTCAGTGCTTTCGTTCTTGGGCTGCTCAGCCTTCTCAAGCTTGGCAGTTGCGTTATCTTTTTGTTTTTGCAAATGTTCTTGTAGCAGTTGTTCCTCTAATTGCTTTCTTTGCTGATCTTTCATGGCTTTAGCTGTAAAGTATGGTACAATAAAAAATAGTTCGAGAATTTTGATCACAACCTATTGTTAAATAAAAAGGAGGAAAGATGAAAGGATGGGATAGGGGATTTTATTTCAGTAATCTCTGATCGTAGAAGCTGTAATAGATGTAATGACTTCATAAATGTATATGATATGATGAAATTATTATGTACTTCGCTCAAGCTTTGTGGTAAGATACACAGACTATAGAATATTCCTTTTAAAGGAAGAGGTTTTGTAATGCAGCCATAAATATATTTACAGCACTAAATCATACACTTCTGTTCTCTCGCTACTTTTTTTTTTTTAAAAAAAATGGTGCCTAGCCTTGAAAAAGAAAGAAAAAAGAAAAAGTCAAATAAGAAGTTAACTGAAAATCTGGGAGAGCAAGTAAAGCCAAAGAAGTCTTCCAAGAAAAAGATGCAATCGGCGAATGGGCATATAGATATGGTTGAGCATGTAGCAGACAAAGCTCAAGATAAGGTCAAGGACCAAATTGAATCAGATATGGAAGGTAGCCAAGATGCTGATGCTCTTAGTGTTATGAATGCCATTCTTGAACATAACCGAAAGCTGATGCAAAAACTCAATGAGCTTGAAAACCAAAAGGATAGCATTAAAGATATCGAAAAAATAGTAGAGGATACTGCTCAAGATACCATGAAGGAAGTGGAAGATAAGAAAAAAGAAGCTGAGGACAAAGGGGGGGCTAACTACTCATTTGAACTTCCCATTGGAGATGTTATGAAGTCTTATGGTTCACTGTCTACTTCTGAACTGCCTGATAAAGAGCCAAAGAAGGAAGATGAGGATGAGACTGCAACTATGAACGAAAACACTTCCGAACCTCATAAAACCTGCGCGGATGAAACAGAAAAGGATGATATTGTTGTCAAGGTTGATGCCACAAGGGATGGCATTACATTAACAATTCATATTCCTCGTAATTAGGTGCCCGAATAAAAGTTACCATCATTGTACATAGCAGATTTTATTATCACAACTGAAAGAAAACACGCTTATTGTAGCAGAGTTAACGTAATATCGCCTTTTGCTTTAGCTTTTAAGTATACTTGAGCTTCCAAGTTGAGATCGAGGCGAAGTCTTGGTACTTTGCCGCTTTTGCCGCTACTGCTTTGTTGTTGTACTTGTTCTTGTTGCTGTTGTTGAATTTCATTTTTATGTTTCTGTAGCTCTTTCTCAGTTAAAGTAGCGTCCTTTAGCTTCCTCTTTCTCTTCGTATGGTCATTTGCTGATTGCTGTTGTTGTTTCTGTATCTGAGGTTGGGGCATATTTAAGATGGCAAAAAAGAAAATTTCTACCGAAAGGATTTGCTTAAAATATTGTTCTGGACACTTTTAAAGCTATGGCGATAATTTTACTATGATGTAAGTTACTTCTGAACAACCCTTCTTTCCTCCGTTAGTCCCAACAATAATACCTATGACAGTTTAGTTTAGTTTTTCCTTGTGTGCCTGGTGACTCTGATGCTGTCATCTTTTTGTCATTTAGGCTACTTCCAAAATAGTTTTATAAGACAAAAGTGCATAAAATTTTCTTTTTATCATCATAATTACTATTAGCGATTAAATGCCGTCTACAAAAGAGCAAGAAAAACAAGAGACCAACTTTAAGCAACAAGAAGATACCGTTACTGAAGAACCCGAAGATCAGGACAGATCGTCTTCCCCTTCTCCTCAGAAGAAGTCCTCCAAAGATAAAAAGAAGCCAGGAAAAAGGAAAAAGAGATCTTCAAAGAAAGATGACGCACTTGGCTTGGTAAAAGGTGATGATACCTTAGGATCTGTAACAGATACGGTCGATGGTGTATTAGGTGGCGGGCAACAACAGAGTGGAAAAAAGGACTCTGACCACCCGTTGAGCTTACGTTTAGACCTTAATCTAGACGTAGAGATTACTTTAAAAGCTCGAGTTCATGGCGATGTTACGCTGGCTTTACTTGCTTAATTCATTCCTTTATAAATAAATTTTTTTTTTTTAGTTTTACAAGAACTAGTTGTTATTCATGTGTCTAATACTTGCACAAGCCTTAACCCATTGAAGTATACTTATTAAAAAAATGATGTACAGAGAAAATCTTCAGAAATTATGCATATCCAATTAAATACTTCATTAAATATTTTATTGATTTATTATCGTAAGAGGGCTAAAGTTACATCACCATGAACACGCGCCTTTAGTTCAAGCTCTACATCCAAGTTAAGGTCAAGACGGAGACTGAGGGGCTTATCGTCTTGACTTTCTCCTGAAGCATTTCTCACAGCATTGCCCACACCTTTACCAACACGACCAACGGTATCCGTCGTGTTCTTGACAAGATTGCCTTGTCCTTGTTGTTGTTTGCGTTTTAATGCTCGGCGTTGCTGCGGTGTAAGGTCTTCTTCTTCGTCCTCAGAAGCCTCAGTTTCTGATTCTGTTTCATCACTGTCATCATTGTTACTGTCTGTTTCTTCTTCAGATTTAGTATCATCATTTTCTGATTCTTGTTCGTCGCTTTCTTCATCGTCGCTTTCTTCATCGTCACTGCCCCCTTGTCGATCATTTTCTTCATCGTTATTTTCTTGCTTGTGCCTTTCTTGAGGCGGCTCTTGTTTTTTTTCTTGGGTTTGCTCTTCATCTTGTTCTTTCTTTTCTCGGTGCTTTTGATCTTGTTTTTCTGAGGACATTGTGTTAAGATGTGCTTACGTAGTATTAAAAAGAAGTGAAATATGCACCCTTTCCAGTTTATATGCTTAAATAGACTATAATGATGAATGCATTACGTAACCATAGATACAGATGATCAGACCTTATGTTGCCATAATAATGATCACTTTTATATCGGATAAGAGATTAGGTATACCTCATTCCAGGGAGACCGGCTCTCATATAGTAGTCTCTCATGATTATTCTTTTTTATTATCCCATTCTCTTCAATGAAGAGCTAGTCATGAGTGCATCAGTGACGGAGTGGTAATTTCTAAATAGAACAAAGAAAGTAGCATTATTTTCTTGGTCTACTTTTTCCTTTTTTTACTTTTGTTTACAAACTTTATTGTTAAATTATGGACAAGAATATATCAAAGAAAGAAAAGAAGAAATCGAGGCATAAAAAGAGCAAGAAAGCATTGGAGCCATCCGATCAACAACAGCTTTTAGCAAAACAACAAGCAAATATATTAAAGAAATACACTGCAAGACAAAATGCATCTCCTGAATTAGTTGCAAATGGTGGAGAGAACAACAATAAAGCATTAAAGCTACGGCTCGATCTTAACTTGGATGCTGATATCCAACTAAAAGCTAGAATTAGAGGCTCTGTACAGTTAACGTTACTTTAGCCCTTTTGTGTATATATAAAATTAATTAAAGCGCTTCATATTTTGAAAGAGTGATAATAGCCTTAAAAGAGGACATCGTTTTTAACCAGAGGTATATTATCTTTTCTTTTGAACTTTTCTTTTTTGCCATTTGCTTCCAATGTTTTCTTACCGAGCTTGATACAAACCGAAGTAACCTTGGCGAAATAGTATCTACAGAATTTGACTAAAACGCCTTTGCGAATGAATATATAGTTGTATTCAGGCGAGATAGTTTAGCAGATAGGGCGTCTACTTCAATATTCATTATCCCTTTCTGATCCTTCAGCTTTTGAAGCCTTGTCATAAACTTTAGTTAGGCAGTGTCTCCTTTGCTAATAATGAGTATTCATACTAACTGAAGTTGTGAAAGCATTCTTTTTACCAGGATCGAAAAACATTGACCAATGTTTTCTTTAACTCTTGTAACCCAAAAGTTTCAGCTTGACCCCGCTGTCCCGTACAAGGCTATCAAAAAAGGGACTTTGTTTTTAAAATGGTCTATTCGACTCAAAATACAAGAAAAAAAGATAAGCTCATTGAACTGACACTGTCATGTTTCATTTTGCAAAAAAAAAGGAGTATAACCACGCCGTCTATTTGCTTGGTGATGGAGTTGCTCAGCTTATAAATCCTTCATGATATCTATTATCTCTGTAATATCTATATTATTCAGCCTTTTACTCAGCAACTCTCTTCTTCGTGATACACTAGACAGCTGGAAATACATATAGTGCCTGGTTGCAATGTTACGGTGTTATGGTCTTTTTTAAGTAGTTCATGGTGATCATTGTATCGCTTTATATCAAAATCGAATGGGGTGTGCATCATCAGCATAATAGTCAAAGAGAATAAAAAGGGCAAGCGCGAGTCATTGTTTATGTACATGTAGAAGTGAATAACATATTTACATAGCAGGATCAGTGCTGATCATTGGTTGCGTTCCTTGCCTGCTTTCTTTGTTCTAATTTTGCTAATTTCTTTTCCTGTCTTCTACTCAGGTCGTTGCTTGTGCTTGTCTTGTACATCTTTTGTGTTTCAAAGAACGTATCTAATGCTTCTGGGCTCACGTCATCCAGCGTAAATTGGCCTAGTTTACCTGTTCTATATTGCTTGAGGAAAAATTTAGCGGCCATTGTCAAATCTAGTTCCCCGCCTTTCACGATCGCACCAATACGTCGTGCAACGCCTTCCAAGAGTTCATTCACGTCGTTTGTAGGTCGCTCGAGCTTGAACCAATTGACATAATCATGAGCATGAAATTCATTTAATCTATAAAGTAAATAATCTGCCATGACTTGCTCATCTGCCAAATGATCACGGATACCACCTGTTAATGCAACTTTTAAGCTTCTAACTGGGTCTGCAATATGAGGCACCATCACGCCGGGCGTATCGATAAGATAAACTGTAGGATCTTCCAGTACCTTGACTGTGCCGATCACCGTACGGGTGACACCTGGTTGAGCTCCTGTGATTGCTGCTTTTCCCTTTCCAACGCCTACTCGTCTCAGTGCGTTGATGAGTGATGACTTTCCGACGTTAGGCATACCAACGATCATGAGAGTGACTTGTGGTATAGGCTGTGCAAGCTCTGATGCATATTTTAATATACTCTTGACATTGTTGTCCGTAAGACAACTGGTAAAAGTGATTGGTGTTGAGGGTGCATGACGAGAAAAAGCCTTGCGTATTGGCTTCAGAGAGGCTGGATCAGCTAAATCAGACTTGTTGTAAACAATCATCCTTGGTCTTTTGCCCACAACTTTCTCAAAGTTTGGATTGACAGAAGATAAAGGAATTCGAGCATCTCGAACTTCAACAACGAGATCAACCGAGTTAAGCCTTTCAGATATGAGTCTTATACCTTTAGCCATATGACCTGGAAACCAATTGATAACTCGATCATATGGAAATGTCGTCCTTGGTATAAAGCTCATTGAAGGACAAGGGGAGGGGGGTGAATAGAAAGAAAAAGAAAATTAAATTTAATTGGTAAACACTATTTTTCTTCCTTCTTCTATTAAAAAGTCTTCATGCCCAGCGATAAAAAGAATAAAGAGACAGCACAAAGTACTGCAGATTCCTATGCTGCTTATTCTGAAGCAGGCTATCAAGCAACAGGTTCTGAGTATGATTATAGTAATCAGTATTATTATGGTTATGATTATTCAGTTGGAGCATATGCAGATCCAAGTGCTACAGCAGCTGATTACAGCAACTACAATCAATATTATTCCCAATACTATGATTCAAATACTTATTCAACAAAATCAACATCAGGTGCATCATCAAGTTATAAACCAACAGGCACATTAGCGGCTGCGGGTCCTTCTCCCTATACACCTGTAACAACAACATCAAATAATGCTACAAGTGGTGTCAAGACATATTACCCAAATCAATCTAATCCCAATAACCCAGTAGGACCTGTTATTATAACAAAATCAGGCTACGCAGGACCATCAACTACAACTACAACTACAACTTCCGGTAGTGGCAATAGTAGTAGCGATAAAGACAAGAAAAAGAAAAAGAAGTCCTATGTACGAGTTGCAGGAGGAGAAGTATGGGAAGACCCTACTTTGGTTGATTGGGATGACCAAGATTATCGCTTATTCGCTGGTGATTTGGGTAATGAGGTAACTGAAGAATTGTTGTATAAGACTTTTTCAAAGTATCCTAGTCTTATAAGAACACGTGTTGTACGTGATTCGCGTACAATGAAATCAAAAGGATATGGCTTTATCAGTTTCAAGGATCCTGATGATTTTGTGCGTGCATGGAGAGAAATGAATGGTAAGTAAGATAATAAAGAGAAAAAAGGTAGATGACTTATGGTTATGGATAGGTAAATATGTAGGAAATCGACCTATTAAATTGCGAAAGAGTACATGGAAAGAGCGTAATATAGAAATCAAGGCCAAGAAAGAAAGGGAGCGTATGGGGCCATATAGTAAAATACGTTAAATAAAAAGGAGCTTTATTTTATACAGATTAGTTTTACAGTGGTATCTTTGTTTTCTTTATCGAAGGTGGCAGCCATAAGGATGATCAGGGACAACATTTAAGGCAATAAGAATAATGTCCACAGTCCACCAGATGCCGCCAAGACCAGCAGTAATTAGCTTAATAATGCCAAGGAAGATGTATCCCAAGTAGAAACGATCAATACCTTCACAAAAAAAAAAAAATGAATAAACATTCAATAAAATACCGTACTGACTTACCAAAAGGACCAAGGAAGATAGAGAGCATAAGAGCAACGAACCAACTACGATCAGAAACACACATTTCTTCTAATAAAGCTTTTTCATCATCACCTACGGGAGTAGTAGCATCATGTCTTCTCTTAAGAGCAAAGTGGAAAGAAAGAGTTAAGACAGCAGTGATGGCAATAACGATTATCCAAGAAATAAGGACACGGTGGCCATGAAGATGTAGGACACGCTTCACCTTTTGAATAAAGGTTTCATTTTCAGAAACTTCTCTAGAGATCAAAGGGGCTTCTTCGTCTTGAGTAGTGCTAACAGTACCGTATTCAGCAGACATTTCTTTAAGCAAAATAAAGAAGAAAAGAAAAGAAAAAACTTTTAACAATAACCATGGCTTATATTGTAACAAAGATGTATCACATTGCACAAAAAGAAGGCACCAGAGAGGGACGAACTGAAAAAACGGCTCACTGTCGCAAATTGGTAATTCTTGTCTATATCATCTGACATTTTATATAACCCTTTCTCCCCTTTTTCCTCTTCTCTTTCTTTCTCCCTCTCTTTTTTTATTACTTGTTTACTTTGTTATCAAATTTGAAATGTTTGTAGCGCATATTCACCTTAAATGGCTATCTTCTTTTTCATTTAAAAACCTTTTTGTGACACCTGTAACACTTTGTCATCAGGTGTAGCTTATTTTTAATCTCTGTCTTCGGAAGAAGTCGAAAATGTCCTAAATGACACCTGAGTCGTGTTTATTATAGGTTCGTTTGCCAATCTGATGTAATAACAGTCTCCTTTGCAGAGTCAATCTATTTTCACGCAACAAAATTAGCCTTACGCAGATTATAAAGTATACTTCCAACCTTAAAATAGAGATACTCTTTCTTTGGAATCAAATAATACACAAAATAATATGGTGGTTGTCCACTACCTTCACCTGAAGAAGCCGTAACTGATCCTGGGATAACCGGACCTTTAAATGATAGCGGCGAATGAGTATATGCATAAAAGGTTTTGATTAATATATTCTCTCTAACCTGGCATCATCGCAACAGAAGCTTGTCCCTGTCCGAGAGAAGGAGTCATTTCATCCGGTTTACCAAATTTTGATAATATTTCAGCTGCAGGAGTGCCAGGTAAGCCTAGTTGATCACCAAGAGCCTATTTATTGTTGTTACGTCTGAGAAGAATATACAAATTATGCTATACCTTCATCACTTGGTATTTTTCATCATAATCCCTACCGGAGCTTCTAGATATCTGTCGAAGCTCTTGATATCTCTGTGATAAAACGTTTAGATTATCACTTGTTGCCATAATTGTTTCAAGTAAGAAAAAGAAAAAGAAGAAAAAGAAAACCAAAGTACGTTTCATCTTTTTCTTCAACTAAACACAATGACGTAATTCTGGTTGCCAAGGAAGAGGAATGCCTTTTGGAAAGAAAAAAATGGGAGGGAGCCTTGGCATAGCAAAGGTGGCTTTTTATTTGTAAAATGTTGTTACAATAAGGTATAGTTTTACAATTCTAATAGTCTACACGTACAATTCTACCTTCAACAACCGGGGAAATGCTGCACCATCGTTTAACCCAAGATTGTTCATATTCTTTATCATATCTGCATTCGTTTTGATTTTCTTCTATATCCTCTGGATCAATGCAATCAGGATGTCCCTTACTGGAATCTACAAAAGCATCGCTGATACCTTCACGACTGATATGATAGTTGGCACGCTCCTTGATATCGCTGCTCAAGAATAGCTCTCCGTCTTGGCTTCTAGTCTCGCAATCACACTCACGTCCATCATCAGGGTGATCGTGTCCCTTGAACTGCAATGCGACGTTTCGCCAGTGAGCGGCAGCAGATGCCACTAGCTTTTTCACACGACTTTCGTTGTGTACATGCTTTGCTTGGTACTCACGGAAGGCGTTGATATACTTTAAGCCCAAAAAGAATCTTCGATAAAGAGTGGATACGAGCACACCGGATTCTTCATCCACAATAATTTTCTCATCAGGTACCTTGAAGGCGTCATAACCGTCGTATCCACCCACGAGGTACTGACGGGTAGCTACAACATATTCACGATCCAAATCTAAAGGGTCCATATTTTCTGGATCATATCGAGACGTGTGGCCGCTCAAGTTGGGAAGAGCAAGGGAACGGCTTCGCTTATGACCATGTGGCTTTGGTGAGGTTGTTGTGTGTCTAACGGTATAGACTTTGCGCACACGATTACCAGGAGGCATATCAGGGTTCCATTCGAGTCGAATACCAGCCAACTGGGGAAATCGGCCTTCCTGCTTTGGGTACTCGGATACACTATTTTCCAATGCGTCCCACAACTGCTTACCAGTGACGCGAATGACAACAACAGGATCCAAGAATGGAAAGGCAGTCAAGATATCACCAAACGTAATTTCACCTACGTCAATCACGTTGTCATTTCGAATGGTGCCTCCTACACAGAACCCTATTTCAGCAGGCTCAGGCATCATACGATAGTACATCATCATCAAATCAGCCGTCAGATTGCCCAGATTGGTTTCTTCAGTTCTAACAGACATACTGCGTCCATCTAAAGGAACGGTCGTGTATCCTATTGGTGTACTTGTCTTGGCCGTGACTTGTTGACCTACTTGTTCCACAAGCCTTTCTGTCTCTGGGTCAGGTACAACTGATGAATCAGCCACTATTCTTTCCACTATACAGTATTTACTTTAGTCATTTTGTATGCACTCGTATCTTTTTTAGGAGACTTACCAGAGATTGACTGAACATGTTTTCTCCCATCATCTCCCTCTTCAATTTCTAATTTCAAGTGGGAAAACTCTCTGAAATCGGTACCACTCTTTATGACCCTTATGCCATCTGTATTTTCCAAACCCTCTTCGGGATCAAATCCGACATCCTTCAAGTTTTGTTCTCTTGTCCAAGTATCACCGACAATATTGACCGATCGAGAGACATAGTAAAAGTGATCGTGGCTAAATAAAAAAAGGGACTGAATCAACGAGGAAGAATATCATGTGGAATTATTTAATTTACCCTCCCAAAACCAAATCTATTTCATTCTGACAATGAGTGGCTAACTTAATATCATTTGGGACTCTCATATGCGTCAAAGCAATGACGATATCCACATGGTGAGGCCCATTAGGATCTCGTAGCTCTTCTGAAAGTTCCTTTGCTACTCTAATAAAGTCGTGGTATATCAATTCAGGCGGGAATCTATTGATGTGTAAGCATTCATCACACAAAATATTGATAGCTGCTTACGATGGAATGGTTTGGATCCATTCTTTCTCTACTAGGCCAATAATACCTATACGTAAATTCTCTTGTTCCATGACCAAATAACGCTTGATGACCGGGTCTGCCGTCTGATCCTTTTCATCAAGGACATTAGAAAGTATCCAGGGAAAGTTTGTTTGCCTAATCAGTTTACCGAGCTGAGGCATACCGAAGTCAAAGTCGTGGTTGCCTAGACAAGCAGCTGCTATATGAAGTTGGTTCAAAATTTCAGGCCTAACAGCAAGGGTGAGTACAGATATATGATAAGTACTACCCTTACATATGTGAACCTCGTGTGATGGTCCCTTCCAGACTTGGATTAAAGGCATCTCCAGAGAATAAGACGAGTGGTTTATGCTTAGATGAGGCAAGGGTATCATTTATTTTCGTTGCAAACCGAGAGGCGCCACCGATAGGTTCTTCCTTTCCTGGGGCAACATGATAGACATCGTTAAAATGAATTAGTTCAAGCGGCATCGAATAGGGGAAGTAGAAAGGGTAAACGGTATAAAAAGAAAAAAGCGATGATGGTCCTCAGATGTTTGTTGCGCGGGTATTTTATGTCTGAATCATCGACGTGTAACATTGTTTTTAGAATGCTGTCATCGATAGAGCTTTGAAAGGCAGATTGCAGATAATTCTTTATTTAGAAATATCTTTTTTTTTTGAATACTTACATTGAGAAGATATCTTAAAGGGGCGAATAAATGAAAGGAGCAGACAAATGATTTAATATAAAAGTTATCTCGGATGCCTTCAGTTTCAAGAAGGATGAGGGGGAAAAAAAAGAGAGAAAAAGAAAGCGGGAAAGAATAGGAAAAGATAGAGGAGAAATAGATGAAGGAAGGGGTTTGTGGGGATTAAGGAGAAGTGTATAATTGAGCATTTGGATTCATGGTATCTTCTTCTTTCCCTTCTTTCTTTAATGAAGGCTTTAATTACACAGATATTTATATTGCTTATAATACAATGGCTTAGTATTGCCGTTATCATTTTAAATGCTTTGTCAAGTCATACATCTTGGAAGGAATTGATTATGGGTGCTTCATCTTTATTTGCCGCATCCCTATTGCTATTAATCAGTATCCATCAATTCTTTAATGGATTTCGACACAACAAGTCTCTGCTACCATCAAAGACCATCTTAGGCTTGCAGATCATACTACCAGTTATTATAATATCTGTGTGGATCACTACATCTGTCATTCTATCCACTCATTTTAATGGTTCGTTATTGAAGAAGAAAAAAGCATATATTCATTGTTTGTGCGCTTATAGAATCAATGTTGTGTCAGTCTGATTTGAATAGAGACAGAAATTTATGTACTTTAGTGGATACAATGATAGTTATAGGTATGTTATCATTTACTATTTAAGCTTTTTTAACGCGTGCATAAACCCTATGCATTAGCTTTTATTACTATAGCCTTTTGGTTCATATTACTGCTGGTGTCACTCATTTATTTGTTTCAACATCCATTGCCTAATACAATGGATGGTCCATTAAATCTAAAACAATACGAAGATAACAATGAAATTAGCCATGAGAGTTTGGTGACCAAAGCCCTGCATCGACCAACTGTTCCTAGATTATCTCCAATAACTACTGAAACGAAAATTACAACTGATGAGGAGAAAACAAGAGAAAAGGAAAAGATAAACTACGCTATTGAGACTAACGCTACCATGACAACAACAACAACCAGCACTACTATTACTAAAGAGTGGTGCTTAGGAATTGACTTTGCACCTGTCAATCTAAACTTGTCGCTTCCTACACCGAGTGAATTACTAAGAAGGGATAAACCTGTTTACGTAAAATACTGAATAAAATAATAGCCAATAAATGTAACTATTTTATGAGGTCACAAGACCACTCTGTTGTTTATTTTTGTATGCAAAGGACAAGTAATCTTTGTTATTTTTCTCTTGTTTTGATAGGTGAATGACAAACACATTTAAAATAAAGTCCCAAAAGAGTTGTTCGTCACCCATCATAACGAGCAATAGATGTATTCCGTTTATGAGGCTATCTAAAAAAAAGAAAGATCAGGTGAAGCAGCATTACTTGCATGTGCAGCAGGAAGAACAACAACAAGAAAAAATGCTGCAGAGTGAGCAAATAAATCAGCCTATGTTGATCACTACTCCTTTCTATAATCATCGTTATCATCACAATCAAGATTATTCTCGAAATAAAAATATAGCGTCTATTGCTCAGAGAAAACCCACACCGTTCACAGTAAAGACATTAGCCGAGGATAGAGGTAAATCTTGTTTTGCCGACTATATATAATCCGCTTAAACGGTTCACAGACAAAATGGACAGTGAAACCATTGAAAAAATAAAGCAGCAGTTACATGAGATACACATGAAGGAAATGATTGAATTCAAAAGACTAGAAAAAAGGCACCAACTTAGAGAACTGCGTATACATGAACAAATAATGGAAACACAGAATCAACTAGCCTCATTGTTATCTTATATGTCGAATAATGATCATTATTTTGCTACCTTCCCAAGAAGTCACTTTTATGGAAAAGATCATGGCTATACACCTTACTCTTATTATCATTGGTATACTAATGGCTACTATAATTTACCAGGTACATATCCATCAAGTACATACTATACAAGAGCGAATAGACAACTATATACCTTCAAAGATGACGACAACAATGATTATTATTATGCACCACGATGGTCTTATTAAAAAGTAAATGACCCTATTCATGTTTCCTTTTCTATCCAAAGAATGTCTTGCTCTGTTTTCAATATATGTAAAGAGATAATGTGTGTATTAGAACTATATATTTGCCGTATTTTGGAACAATTCAAGCAGAAAATAGTTATCTCAATACTTTGATAAAAAGAAAGAGAAAGACCTTGTAGGGTTTTTATAGGTCGTAGCCTTTTGTTTTCTAAAGAAAAGGCGGATGTCTAAGGAGTAAATAAGTGTAAAGAGAAGGTATGGGCTAGCATGGTGTAAATATCAACAGTACAAATAACAGCAACTACCATAAGAGCAAAGGAAATAGTAACGTTAAAAACAACTATGTATACCTTTATATGCAAATTTTTATTGCTAGAAGAATAAATAGGTAAAGAGAAAGACAAGAATAGCCACGCCTATCAAGACTTGAGGTGGATATCCTTCTACTGCGCGAGGTCTCTCCAATTGAGCCAAGTGTTGATGAACAGCATCCAAGGGTTGTACAGTAGATGCAAGTTTTCGTCCGCCCACGGTTTGATTGTTGTTACGTGCACGCATACCCTCATCTTGTAATCTCTTAAGTTCTTCAATTTCTTTTTCAAGTCTTTTTATCTTTTCTAATGCTTCTTTCAGTTGTTTCTTATCTTCACTTTCCTGTACCTTATTATCAAATTGGGGCTCCACTGCTGTAGTTGCAGATGCTGTGGTTGCCGTTGTGGGTGATGTTAATACAGCTTCAGAAGCAGTTGTAGCAGCTGGAGTGGTCTGTACTGGTGCTGGAGGTGGTACTATGGAAAGCTTAGGAGCAGTAGTGGCAGTATCATTATGGGTAGTAGTAGTAGTAGTAGTAGCCTCAGGCTGTGAAAGGGATGATGTCTGTGGCACTACAGGAAGAGTAGGGCTAGAAATTACGTCACTATGAACAGGAACCACAGCAGGTGTCGTCTCTTGATTGACCACTTCTTTATCGTTCGTAGATGGTTCTGAAGTGACCATAGTAGACTTGATGTAGATTAATAATCTGAATTTTATCTCTTGTATATCATGTGTTACCTTTTCAGTTGATGCTGATTCTTCCTCTTTTGGTCCCCCAAATGCACATTTGATCTTGTGCTGATGCATACTTTGTTTATCTGAACTTTCAATATGAGACCACTTTATAAAGAAAAGGTTAAGAGAAGAAGGAAAAGAGGTGGATATACTTTACCATACTTGTGATATCTTGTTGTTCAAGTGATGGATTGAGTGGAGCTGTTTGTACCAAGAACTTGTCTTTACATTTATAATCATCGGGGAGTTCTTCCTTAAAAGGCTGTAGAATGACTATTATTTTATAAATAAACAAAGACAATCCTTTTTATAAACAGACTTACTTTGTACTTCAATTTCAGAGTTAGGCTCAATTCTACCAGCGTTGGGTCTAACACAGTATTGCTTAGGAGCCGTTGTCTTTACTTTAAAGATGACTGGAAAATCATTTGTATTCTTAACAAACAACGATTCTTTTGAAATACGCGTAAAAGGGCCTATAAAAAACAAGATGAGCTATTGATTCTATTGTATTTAAATATGAGCTTACGGTGAAATAATAACTGTTCAGAAGGTTCAATACGAACAGACATTTTAATTATAAAAAAGTAAGAAAGAAAGGAGAAAGAAAAAAGAATGTGAATCACATGCTGGTTAAAGCTCCGTTGATCCAAATTGGAATCTCTTTAAACAACCATGTATTGCACCTGTCACAAATTGTGTTTCCGCTAAATCTTTTGAAATACTCCCTAAGTAACTTAAAAAAAAAAAAAAACACTCAAAACCACTTGGGAAAAAAATGTTTTCTCTAAGCTCTTCAAATTAACTGAAAAAATCCTTTAAAGAGTCTTCGTAGAAAAAATATACGTATTTATTGCGTACAAAAAAAATGAATTGTCCAAATAAACAGTAGTTAAAAAACACTATCTTTGTGTTGAAGGATGTTGGTATGGATTTCTTGTGTTTTTAATTGTGGATGTAAAGTTCTTAATTTCCAAAAAGTCAGAATCTTTTTGGCTAGATTTGTTAAGCTCCTTAATTTAAGCGCCAAGAACAGCATACGCTTGTCCCAGCGATTCAGACAACGCATTTACACGCAATAGTCTTTGCTGCTCACGCAAAATGGCTTGATCACTTCCAGATCTACGAACTGATTCGTTAAATCATACATGATTTGGTCCAAAATCAGCGCCGACTTCTTATCAATACGCTCAACCAAAAAAGTACTGTGTTCTTCTTGCAATTTAGATGGTCTTTCGATAAGGCTTTTTATCTGTTTTCATCACACATTGATCTCTATCGTGTCAGTTACTTGAAATATTAACTTTAAATAAAGGATGATGATTGCCAGATATTGACTTTTGTTGTTCTTTTATATATAAACACCAAGAAATACTACAAGTATGCTGATTGAAAGGATCTCTAATGGAAAGCATATAATCGTTCACTAAAGTTTTGGTATAGGTATATTAAAAGTATAGCCTTTGTAGCTTGTATGGAAACAGTATCTCAATTATTTTTGAGCCAGCTGCATAGTTGAAAAAGTCAAGTTAGTTTGTATGCATCATTATATGCATTTGCTCTCTAGTATTACTCTAAATTATAAAAGTGCTTTCGTTACTCAAGATCAAAATAAAAGAAAAGCACAAGGGTGGGTGATAGATGGCTAAGGAAGGGTTATTTGGACAGATAAGCTAATAGATGTCTCTTTGTTTGGTGTGAAGTATAAGGATGACCCCGATTGTCCTTTCACAGTGATTTGAAACTCTATCTCTAATGAAAACAAGGTCAGGTCTAGGCGTCATAAAAAGTATGTGCACAATTGTACCATTGCTTTTGGGATATTCTTTCTTTCTTTTTTTTTTTTAAAAAAAAAAACCCTGTGTGTACAAGAAAGACGAAGCCTCTATGTTTATAGAGTAAGGGCGAATTCCGATAAAGGAGGTAAAGGGAGTTTAAAAGATAATGAAATACATTGCTCCTTTTTTTTAGTGCAACAAAACACATTTTCCCTGGCCTTTTTTTTTCTTCTTTTTCATCTTTCTTTTTTAGTTCAATCGTAACTCTTGAACAGAACAAAACACACTTCTTTAATAAAATGAGAGAAATCATCAGTGTTCACGTTGGTCAGGTAAGTACATTATACGTCAAAGGGGCTTAGACTTAATTATCTATTATTTAGGCTGGTATTCAAATTGGTAATGCTTGCTGGGAACTTGTAGGTGATAAATATAAATTAAATATATTTGAAAACAAACTTTCTTTTAGTACTGTCTCGAGCACGGTATTCAACCTGATGGTCGTATTCCTGCTGAAAAGGAAGTAACGAATCACTCGTTTGCTACCTTTTTCAGTGAAACAGGTGGGGGAAAGCACGTTCCTCGTACTGTCTTTGTCGATCTAGAACCAACTGTAGTTGACGAAGTGCGTACAGGTGCTTATAGACAACTATTCCATCCAGGTATAGAATACTTGCTTATCTTGATCATACTTTTTAATATCTTCATCTAGAGCAATTGATTACTGGAAAAGAAGATGCTGCCAACAACTATGCACGCGGCCACTACACTGTCGGTAAAGAACTTGTCGATTCAGTCTTGGATCGTATTCGTAAATTAGCAGACAATTGTTCTGGGCTACAAGGTTTTCTTGTCTTCCATTCCTTTGGTGGTGGCACTGGTTCAGGATTTGGTGCTCTCTTGATGGAACGTTTATCAGTAGACTACGGTAAGAAGTCGAAACTTGAGTTTTCCGTCTATCCCGCTCCTCAAGTGTCTACATCTGTTGTCGAACCTTACAATTCCATTTTGACAACCCATACTACCTTGGAACATTCTGACTGTTCATTCATGGTTGACAATGAGGCCATCTATGACATTTGTCGTCGTAACTTGGATATTGAGCGACCCACCTACGCCAACTTGAACCGTTTGATCGCACAGGTGGTCTCTTCCATCACTGCTTCTCTTCGTTTTGATGGCTCCCTTAACGTTGACCTGAACGAATTCCAGACCAACTTGGTTCCTTATCCTCGTATTCATTTCCCCCTCGTCACTTATGCCCCTATTATCTCCTCTGCCAAGGCGTTCCATGAGCAACTCACAGTCCCTGAAATCACCTATTCCTGCTTTGAGCCCAATAACCAGATGGTTAAATGCGACCCTCGTAATGGTAAATACATGGCCTGTTGCTTACTTTACCGTGGTGATATCGTTCCCAAGGACACCAATGCTGCTATAGCAACCATCAAGACTAAGCGTACCATCCAGTTCGTCGACTGGTGTCCCACTGGTTTCAAGGTTGGTATCAACCATCAGCGTCCTACTGTCGTTCCTGGTGGTGACTTGGCTGAAGTTCAACGCGCTGTCTGTATGCTGTCCAACACGACCGCCATTTCTGAAGCTTGGGCTCGCCTCGATCACAAGTTTGATTTGATGTATGCCAAGCGTGCCTTCGTCCATTGGTACGTCGGCGAAGGTATGGAAGAAGGTGAATTCTCAGAAGCTCGTGAAGACTTGGCCGCTCTCGAAAAGGATTATGAAGAAGTCGGCGCAGACTCCTTGGGAGATTCTGAAATAGAAGATGATGCTGAGTACTAAATAAATTATTTTGTTTCCTGCAATTCAATCAAACAATAATTCCGCACCCAGTTTTTCCCGAGTTATTATAGACTACAATGGATGGTGGCAGAATTTAATACACAGTTCGAAAAAACGAAAAAAATCTCAGCGGCCCAATCACAATTTTGAACGACAACTATTTGGGAAATTCTGTACTAGTTTCTGTCACTATTCATTGTAAAGAATTTAATACGAAATGTCTATTCCTGGTATTTGAAAACTGAGGGCTAATGCTGAGACAGATTCAGTCTAATTCACCCTTTTAATAGTACCCTTTAGCGATATTGGAAAACCTAGCAAGGATCTCTTGAGTAAAGATTATCCCATTGATGGTGTTAAAGTTGAGGTTAAGACCACGGCTTCAGACGGCATGGTAAAGATCAATTAACAAATGAAAACATGCAGTGAAAACTGATATGAATCGATAGACCTTTAAAGTTGCTGGACACCGTGATAGTAAGACGGGGATTATGGTAGCTGACATGGAAACGAAATATGTAGATAAAAAGAATGGTGTTGCCATAACTGAAGGCTGGACGTCTTCTAATCATTTAAATAGCAAAGTTGAGCTTGATAATAACCTGACTAGTATGTTTATATAAGCTATTGATGGATACAAAATTAACCAGATATATCAGAGGGTCTTAAGCTTGAGCTGTTGACATCATATGTACCCGTCGTTGACATCAAAGTAGCCAAACTAAATGCTATTTACAAGAAACCCACTCTTCATACTGTTGCAAGTGTTGATCTCTTTAAGGTACATCAAGTGAAAAAAAGATTACTGAAATGACTCAACACTTTGATACCTCTTTTCAGAGAAGCTTCAATGTCAATTCTGTCGTTGGTCGCCAAGGACTAGTTGCGGGCGCTGAAGTTGCTTATAATACAAAGGAAGCTAGGGTATGTATATATAATTGTTCTTGAATGTTTGCTAAAACCAACAACTTCCTGGATAGATTAGCAACTACAGCGCAGCCGTAGGTTACTCTCAAAACAGTTACTCTGTTGCACTCTTGGCATCAAACAATTTATCACACTATGCTGCTTCATATTACCATCGTATCAACAGTAATTTGGAGGCTTCAGGAAAGGCCGAGTGGAATAGTATGACGAATGTTTTGGGCCTTGAATTTGGTGGTAAGCTCGTACTTGATAGTACTGCTTCAGTTAAAGGAAAGATTACCAATAATGGTATTGTTGGTGTTGCTTATATGCAAACCATTCGTCCTGGCGTAAAAATTAATCTGGGTGCAGCTGTTGACGCGACTCGCCTCAATGAAAGCGCTCACAAGATTGGTCTTTCCTTATCTTTTGAAAACTAAAAGTATGTGAATAAAGTTGTATTTTAATTTTTTCTTGTATTAAAAATGAAGGAAAAGCTTATTATGAATCATTCTCTTGGGACGATACTCAATAACGTGATAATCGTAGCATTCTTGAAATCTTCAACCTTTTGTAGACAATATACTTTTGAACAATAATAATAGTAAAGCGGATGAAAACGCGTCAAAACTTTACAGAGAAAGAGCTTTTCATTATAAAAAATGCACTACGTCTCGCTTTTGCCTCATTTTATCTTTATTGGGGGCATTTCTGATGAGAATAAGGCATTTAAAAGTGGCGTTAATGTATCATATCAATGTATTCCTACCTTTTTGGTCCATTATAACATTTCAATATAGCTTATTATTTTTAAGAGCGACAACGTTACTTTTACCATCTAAAACCTGTTGACTAACCATATACGGTTTGTTACATATATCAAAAAGAGATGCTGCTAGGTTAAAGCACTCAATATTAATATTAATATAAATTATTCTCTTGCTCACAAAACCAGTTGATTTGATGCAAAACATTAAATCAAAGTCTCTTTTCAACCTGCATTTCCTCCCTTTCTCAACTGTTTAAATTCCCGCGAATGGCAAACATCGTTGCTCATTGTAAATTACTAATATAAGAGCAAAAGTAGTTAGTATAAGAACAGCAAAATTGAGGTACACAGAAGAGAAACCGTATGGATGACCGTGTACAAAGAAGGTACAAGTAAACCTTGGAAGCTTCTATTTCAAAATAAGCTTGTACATCAAACTAACCAATTACAAATGTAGGACAACAAGGAGGGAGGTGCATTTACACGTCATGGGCTTGCTTTGGTTTATCTTTTTAAAGCAAACGAGAAGAACTTAATGGCGTCGGTGTTTGCGGCGTGTGTGAGCTATTTTTTTAAGTGGCAAATTCTTTGTGCAAAGAAAAATGGGAATACACAGCATGTCAAGAGGCATACAGGAGGCGTAGCAGTAGTGTACATGTGTATTAGGTAAAAATGGTCACTATGATATGACAAGTTTTTCGAGCATTATGCAATAAATGCAAGGGAACCTCTTTTACGCTTCTTGTTTGATAAATGCACTGTCAGTGGTAGAAGTTATTCTTAACACGGTCTGGATCAGGGCATCTATGTATGATTTTTCAATATTGTGCTGAAAAACATTTTGATTCCACAGATACTTCGCGGACTTAAGTACACAAAATACTCTCCCTGTATCTTTATAGTTACCGATTTCTGCTTCTCATCATGTTAGGGAATGGGATTTGGACCAATGATCCTTTTCGATAAACAACATCCAAATTTGAATTGGTTTATCACTTTCCTATTCAAGAGTAAACAGCCGCGGGCAGAATAAATGAATTTGTGCCACACCTTAGTATATCGGGTAACAGTTGGACAGGTTGAAATGAAATATGGCTCATTACAGTAATTCTAAATCTAACTGTTATAGTGATACGTACGTGTTCCTTACTGCAGCGATAGTAAAAGATATTGCGTATAAAATACAAGGACAACTTCATGGCTCAATAGATAAAGATGCATTAAACAGAAAATACATGTTGTAGAATAACGTAAACTGTGAGAATAAACACCCCGACGCAAGTAATAAGCTGTAGAGCGAATGAAATCTTGTTCTTGATTGAGAAAATACTACGCCATTGAACTTGCAGTAAATGTAAATGCAAAGATCACATTGCAAATAGAGTTACATATTAAAAAGAAGTCATCACTTATCCAAAACAACGTCTAATAATAAAAAAAAGCATACTAAGCTCTTTTGTATCGTTTACAGTGTATCCAGTGTAGTCTTGTTATTTCCACTGTGTGTGTGTAATGTTGACAATTTGATCCAAAAGTACTAAATGTTTAACGAATTAATTAATGTGGAACATGCTCAAAGAGGCTGTGAGTGTATAGACTAAACTAACGTGCGTTGAGAGAGTACATGATACTGTATTGAATATCAAGTTAAAAACGTCTACTTGATTCATGTTATTATAGCAAAGACGCCATATGACATAATGGTACAAGTAAACGTTGAATCAGATCCACAGTTGTCTTACACATATTTGATCTAGCAACGACAGCAGAAACCGGGAATTAACTTGGCTGTGCTACATTGACAGAGGAGAATACTTAGCAGAGCATTTGCTCTAGAAAGAAAAAGTATAAATACTCCCCCTCTCTTTGTGATTTTCCAAACGTTTCATTAACAAACACTCTTGTATAACAACATGCGTTTCACTCTTGTCTCCTTTATCTCTGCTGCTCTCTTAATGAAGGTAACTGAAGCTGGTTGGTCCTTTACCGTCTATGAAAATGCTGGCTATGGTGGAAAGTACCTGTCTTACAGCGGTAGATCACCTGTACAATCTTGCCACGACATTGATTCTCGCTTGGACAACAAGGTCAGCTCTTTTAGATATACTACCACTTGCTGTAATTTGAAGATGTATGATGGCCATGGCTGTTCTGGAGCTGTTTTGGGCTCTACTACTGATAACTGGAACGTCAACCAAATCAGTAGTGGAAACAACGATAGGATGTCCTCTTTCCACATTGATTGCCGTAAAACTGCTGTTGCTTGTGTTTAAATATCACTGTCTTTGTGAATAAGCTCGTACAATATCGTCGTATTATCTAATAAATGTTGATCTGCATTCTCAGAATTACTTAAACTTCTGTCTCCAAGTTAGCATGGATGTGGGGTGTCTATAGGCTGTAGATCAATCTTTACCAAATATGTAGCTGTCCAGCTGAAGAAAATAGGTTGGACCACAAAAAGGTACGGCCAAGGAAATTTAGGACACAATTTGAAGAGTTTTATTTTTATCACTTTATACTCATATTATGTGCTTTGTGTTTTTTTTTTTTTTTTCATTTTTTACAGCCCTTTTTCGCAATCTATGCGCCTTTGCTAGAACGATAATGAACGTCATATCCAACTTTCACAGTCTTCTTTGCTGATATATACTGTTACACTGCGAATACGTTAGCTGATCTTCGTGCTTTGTCTGATTGAGGCGGGATCATTGCTTACAACATTTTTTAACTTGGACCAGAACTCCTCAATTGGATTTAAAAATGGAGAATATGGTGGAAAAAGAGAAGTTGACATCCTCATTGTTCAACCCAATCTCGAACAAGGTTAGCCTTGTGAATGGATGCGTTATCAAGCACCAAGTACTTGTAATTCATACCAGCTGCATCAGTTGTAGTGAGGGCTTGCTCTATGAATTCTAGAAAGCCGTTACTAGTTGTGCCTTTTCTTTTTGCAGCTGGTGTATCATCAGTTCGTTGTTGCGTTCCTGCTGTTGCTGTAGTAATAATCTCCTTTTTTGAAAGAGTAATAAGACCAACTTTGGAAATGGCACCTAGGATACTGACATTTGGCCCCCTTGCTTCAACTTTAATTTTACAAGGTATTCCAACTTCACACCAATCATAAGAACGGTGCATGTTTGTATTGAATCCAGCCTCATCAATAAACATACAGTCATTCATAAAATCTATTTTCTGATGAATCCAGAAGTTTACCGTATCATATCTTTTAACAACAGTTTCCTCACTGTCTCGTGCGAAATATTGTGGGACAATGCGTTTATAAGTGAGACAACACCTTTTTTCATATGAGTTGCTACTGATCTTGGGGTAATTTGAACTTCCTTAAAATTTTTGCAAAGTTGATCTGTGACAGCTTCGACTGTCAAGGTTGGTTCATTGGCTAACATTTCAAAAATAAAGACAGTATGCACGTCCTTAAGTATCAATCTTCGATCCTTGTGTTCTTTGAGACTGATGGTATCAGGAAGAAAACCTAATACAAAAAGATTGGCAATTGCGTTAGAATTATATGAAGAAGATAAGAAAAAAAGAGAAATTAGAGAAAGCCGAAGAGAAAAAAGATTGAAAAACTTGAATACAAAGGATCGAAATTAGAACTAGAAAAGAATATGTTAATACAAAAACAATTAACAATGCTGGTATTGATGATTATATGAATGAGTGTCTCATAGTAACTGTCTTATTGTTTTATTAAAAATAAATTTTAGAAAGAGGATAAAATTATGACGTGTATGAAAAAACAATTGGCGCATATTAAAAAAGGTATTTACGCAAAGGCTAAAAATAAAATACGTGCGAAGGAGACGATATACAAATGAGAGTAATAAGTACCAAGGAGAGAATATAAAGAGTTATACAGTTAGTTATGTAAGAAAATTATTACATACAACTTATCCCGAAGGCATTTAGATGTGTCCTAGCGATAACTAGGACGGAGAATCATCGTCTAAGCGTATTCTAGTTCTTGGTTGCTCCTGATCGTCCACTCTTCTTCGACGTTTTGTAGGAGCAACAGCAACCCGGCGAAACCTATGAGGAACCATGCCATTACGTCGAAACCCACGAAGGATGTGTATGTAGTTGAGGCAAGCAGCAACATCCCTGTTCCATAAGCGATATCTATCTGGTGCTGCCATGGCGAGTCTACAGTATAGATTGGTGCATCTACAAGCAATATTCAATCAGCATAAAGTCACCCAGGTGGCTCATGTATTATTACCTTAAAATATCATGGCAGACAGCCGTAGAATATCGCTCTCGTTGATACAGTCGTGGATTTGGAACACGACGGAACGTGTGGAGGCTTTCGTTGTGGCATGCTGGACAGTACCTACTGGTCTTGTACTAGTCTATAAAAAAACCTTGGAACCCATGTTTCTTGAGGAGTCTTCGGAAACTAAAGCCACGGATAGGTTCATGGCAACTAGCATGGGGGCGGACCAGTTTTCCATCACAAGCACAGCGTCTTCTCGAAACTTAGCGCGTAAGTCTTGAATAAGTTTTTGATCGGCACGTTGTTTGTTGAAACACACTGAAAGACGGACCTTGCTAAAGAGGGAGTATCCATTATCATGGCTTGTGATGGTATGTCCATAGAATCGACTGAGAACGGCAGACTGTTCAGATCTGGCTTGAAGGAAGCGGCCAAATTCTTCTACGGATACGATGCTGCTTGGCTGTTAAGAAAGGGCTTGCTCAGCTTGAACGACATCAGGATTCTGGGCTTTGAGATCTTGCAAGATTCGGCGGTACTTTTTGGTTTTCCACGTCTTTTCTTGCTGTTGTTTAGTGTACTGAAATTGCACTGGTTGCTCTGGTGTAGAGTTTTCGTGTACAAAATACAACATATCTCTTCTTCCTGGGTCCACAGCGACGCATCGACCAGAAATCTCTTGATAATTTCGACGAGTTAGGTTGATGATGTAGAAGGTAGCTTCATACTCCACTGTGAACCTTGCCGTGTATCTTGTTTGCCTGGCGAACCTCTTCTTGAGAACCGTGATACCAACGCCATCAGTTTGAATAGTGCCACGGAATCTAAGTTGTCTACCTTCTTGTGGCTTGAGAGCTTTTGAATCAAGGTTGACAACTCGGCGCCAGTAGTCCAGTTTATCGACAGCATTAGACCATCGAATTCCCAGGATGTTTTGACAGAGAATCTTGCTGTCGATAGTAACGTAACAAGGAGATCATGAGCGCCCGAGAGAAAAATAATTGAAGATGGGCAAACCAAGAAATACAAAGAGACGAAAGAGTTGATAAAAGGCCTTAAAGTGGTTGATAGGGTTATGCTTGATATCATAATAAAGTCCCTGTTCGCCAAAGTTGTAGCCTCTATCATAAGCATCAAAAACAGGCCGAAGAGTGTTAAGAGCTTCCATATAAATAGGTTCTTGAGGGATTT